CTGGGAATGCTGTCAGCCCCCGATCCCACCTTTACACTCTATCTCTGTGTCTGACTCTTAATTCCTTCAGCACCGAGCTAGTCTCAGCACGGTATGAACAGCCACCATCATTTAAGACTCCTTTCATTCTTCTGTCATCTGGGAAGCTTTCCCTAACCTACCTACCCTACCACTCCTTCCAAACAATAGTTTTTCTGTTTTGCTATAGGACCCCGTACCTAATCTCATTTTACTGTGTTTTTTATCTGTGTGTTACCTTATCTGTCTCCTTTGCTAGTGTGAGATCCTCAAAGACCGGCACCGAGTCTCATCCACCTCTAATTCTATGGTACCAAACACAGGACCTGGCACACAGTATTTGCTATAACATGCGCTAACACTTGGTGAGCACTTACCATGTGCCAGTCGCATGCTAAAAGCTTTACGTATAGTATCTCGCTTAATTTTTACAACAATCCTAGGAAGTAATATGTTCCTGTAAACACCATAGGACTGACAAAAACAAAACTCAAACAAGTTTAAGATAGAAGTGAATTGTATTGGCTCAATTAAAGGAAAATCTAGAACCATGCCTTCAGGCATGGCTGGATCCAGATACTCAGAGAGCAGTCGGGGTCCTTTCCCTCCATCTCTCAGCTCTGTTTCTCTCCACCAGGCTTCATTCTGCAAGCAGGCTCTCTCTACCAAGAGGGGGAAGCCAGATGCCAGCAACAATCATATCTTCTTAGCTTAACAACTGCAATGGGGAAAACCAACATTCCCACTGACTCAGCAGAAAAGCAAGGTCTCTGATTAGCACATCCTGTGTCAACGGCCTGTACCTGCTCACGGGGTGGAAGCACAATGATTGGCAGCCCACCAAGAGGTCTCACCTAAAAGAACCAAAATAAAACAAAAGAAATGGGAAGCCATCCTGGACAGAATAAAACCATGATCCACCATGGGTGGATCCTTGTGCTGTCCCGTTGTATAAATGAGGAAAGGGGCACAGATCACTTGCCTGGGGACACCACTGGTGATAAGTAGCAGAAAAAATATTTAAACTAATGGTTCTGATGCCAAGTCCTGCACCCCTTGCCAGTCCATTATACCAGCTCCTCCCATGAATTCTGAGATGGATGAGAGCCCAGGATTCAGATGAGAAACAAACTCAGGTTTAAGATCCATCATCATCACTGTTATTATTATTACTAAATAGGGTCTTGCTCTGTCACCAGACAGAATGCAGTGGCAACACCATAGCTCACTGCAGCCTCAAACTCCTGGATTCAAGCCCCCCACCCACCTCAGCCTCCTGAGTAGCTGAGACTAAAGGCATGTGCCACCATACCTGGCTAATTTTTTTTTTTTTTTTTGTAGACATGGGGTCTCACTATGTTGCACAGGCTGGTCTCAAACTTTTGGTCTCAAGCAATCATCCAGCCTCAGCCTCCCAAAGCACTGAGATTACAGGCTTGAGCCACTGCGCCCAGCCTGAGATCCATTTTTGAGGCTGTGATCTCTATGAATTCATATGTCCTCATCAGTCAAATATGGGCAATAAGAGTATCTCTATCCTGTGGTGAGAATTAAATGAAATCATTCAAATAATATATTTAGCATAGGGCCTGGCACATAAAAATAGCTAAATTAATGTTAGCTTCTATTATCAATAACTGTTCATTGAATGAATAAGTGAGTGAGTTGTGTCTGGACTCTAACATGAAGACTCTGGTGGTTCATCTCACAGTGTGAAGGCCTGAGAGTAGGGTTGAAGGGGAACTTTAGACCCTGGAAAATCTCCACCACAACTCAAAACACTCTCTGTGGATATTTCTGTTCTTTGAGCTGAGCAATTAATTTTTCTTTCTTTCTTTCTTTCCTTTTTTTTCTTTTCCTTTCTTTCTTTCTTTCTGTTTTTTTTGAGACAGGGTTCATAATGTAATGTTTCCCAAGCTGGAGTACAGTGGTGCTCACTGCAGCTTCAAACTCCTAGGCTCAGGTGCTCCTCCTGCATCAGCTTCCTGAGAAGCTAGGATTACAGGTGCACACCAGCATGCCCAGGGGATTTTTTTTTTTTTTTTAGAGATAGGTCTTGCTGCATTGTCCAGGCTGGTCTCAAACTCCTGACCTCAAGCGATCGTCCCACCCTGGCCTCCCAAAGCACTGGGATTACGGGTGTGAGCCACTGCAACCAGCCAACTTTTCTTAATTTTACGTAAAGTGAAAATAAAAGCATGTTTAGAACGTCTTGTTCATATTACTGATCTGTAACTTAGCTCTAAGCAAGTTTCCAAGCCCACTTTCTCCCTCCAACCAGAAGGCCACCCAAGTCCCTTACATTAGGAATTCTAGGCCGGATGCAGTGGCTCATGTCTATTATTCCAAGACTTTGCGAGGCTGAAGGAGGCAGATCACATGAGGCCAGGAGTTCGAGACCAGCCTGATCAACACAGAGAAATGCCATCTCTACTAAAAATACAAAAATTTACCAGGGCATGGTGGCACATGCCTGTAATCCCAGCTACTTAAGAGACTGAGGCATAAGAATTGCTTGAACCCAGGAGGCAAAAGTTGCAGTGAGCAAGATTGTGCCACTGCACTCCAGCCTGGGCAACAGAGCAAGATCCTGTCTCAAAAAAGAAAACGGAATTCTAGAGCCACCACTGGCACCCATGCTCTGTACAGCCGGGCTTGGAATGAGCGCTGTCCCCACATATGACCACGTGCATGTAAAGAGCTTTGAAGGTACCAAAGGCCATAATTAGCTCAGGAGGTCATCTAGGTTCTCCTAGCACTGTGGAGTCAAGGAGTCCTGAAGTCCAGTCCCAGGCCTGGACAGGGTTGGGTGGGGCAGACTGAGACAGGGCAGAGGACAGGAACAGGACAACTTATGGAGGTCTCTGGCAGGCCTGGCAGGGCACTACAACTCTTTTCCCAGTTGCAATGACACTTGGCCCCAAAAGCTTTAGAATTATCCCCACATTGAGTGGGCACACCGTGTCCTGAGACATCCTTGGCTTTCTGCGATCCAGGAAACTGCTCTAGATGCCAAAGGTACAGATACAGGAGCAAAGTGCATGAGTGGAGCGGCCCTCAGCCCCAGCGGGAGGGAATAGGCTGCCTCTCTGAGGGCTGGAGCAGGGGGAAGGAAGGGGACCTGAGGGGAGGAGAGGTGAGGAGGAAATGAGTGAACTTTATCCAACTCTTCAGTGGCCCAGTTGGATGTCTGTGGTGTCCACACACGGCTGACAGCTCCAAGTCTGGGGCCAGAGATGCCAGCATGCAGGACACAAGATGCTGCCTCATTTTCTTCTCCTTTCCCCTGCCTTTCCCCCTTTGCCTTCCCCATTCCCCATCCAAATCCTCCTGCTGGTCAGGGGTGTGGAAACAGTTTGGTATCTCTGGCCACTCTAGCTGCAGTTCTGCCCTCTGCGATCTTGGCCGAGTCACTTAATGACAATAGCCCAGTTCGTGTGGAGTCCCAAAGGGTGTTCACATCGTGACGTTACCAGACCCTCCAACCATAGCCATTGCACACACATTATCTCATTCAATCCTCATGACAACTCTGGAAGTGAAATAATATTAGTGCACTCATTTCACAGATGAGGACACTGAGGCTTAGGGAGATTGTGTGTGACCCTCCCAACGTCATATGGCTAATAAACGGCAGGACTGCAATTCAAACCATGGTTTACTAAATGCCAAAGCTGGAGCTCTTCTACAATCTCAGGATCTAGAGCAGGGATTATTACTATCCCTGCTGTTGACATGAGGAAACTGGCTCAGGGAGGTCAAGTGACCTGCCAAAGCTTATACACATGCAAAGTGGCAGAACCAGGATGCAAACATATTTCTTTCTTTCTTTCTTTTTTGAGACCAAGTTTCGCCTTGTTGCCCAGGCTGGAGTACAATGGCACAATCTCGACTCACCGCAACCTCTACCTCCCAGGTTCAAGCAATTCTCCTGCCTCAGCCTCCCAAGTAGCTGGGATTACAAGTATGCATCACGATGCCCTGCGAATTTTGTATTTTAAGTAGAGATGGGATTTCACCACATTGGTCAGGCTGGTCTCGAACTCCCAACCTCAGGTGATCTGTCCACCTCGGCCTCCCAAAATGCTTGGATTACAGGCATGCGCCACCATGCCTGGCCAACAAACACATTTCTTTTACCGCCACCATCAATGTCTATTTGGCCAACAAAACAATGAGGGGCCCGAGTAAATGATCTCAACGGCCCCTCCACCCTCCAGCTGAGATACATTTTTGTTTTTTGTTTTTGAGACAGGTCTGGCATTCACCCGGACTGGAGTGCAGTGGTACAATCTGAGCTCACTGCAGCCTTTGCCTCCTTGGTTCAAGTCATCCTCCCACCTCAGCCTCCCAAGTAACTGGGACTACAGGTTTGTGCCACCATGCCCAGCTAATTTTTATATCTTTTGTAGAGACAGGGTTTCACCATGTTGCTGAGGTTGTTCTCAAGCTCCTGGGCTCAAGCAGTCCTCCTGCGTCAACCTGCCAAAGTGTTGGGATTACAGGTGTGAGCCACTGCACCCAGCAGCTGAGGTACTTTTTAGTTCTGGGCTGGGGTAAAGAGAAGTTGGATAGAAAATGGGTGAAAATAAAAAAGGTCTCAGTCTTACTGCAGCTTGTTCATGCCTCCTGCCTCAGGATGCCACAGTGGCTGCCCCAGCCCTGCCCTTTCAGCCTCATTCCTTTCCTCAGCAAAGGAGAGAAAAAGTGATTTAACAAACTGAGGGCTCTCAGCCCTTGGAGTTTGGACCTCTGAGCTCTCACACTGACCTATCCAGTAGCTTCCTCCCTGAGAAATGTGTGTTCATTGCTACCTTCTACAGTGTCCCTAGGGGAGAGTGTGAAGCACACACAGGCATCATCTGACACACCACACCTGCTGAGTCCAAACCATGGGAGGCTCCTCTCCTAGACCCTGCATCCTGAAAGCCGGGCACCTGACAGCCTGCCAGCTGGCTGCAGGGACACACCCAGGGGGAGGAGCTGTAGTCGTGTCTGGGGCACCAGCCCAGGCTGGCCAGAGCTCCTATTTCCACTGCTCTACCACCTGCCCAGGGTACCAACATGGCCCAGAAGCGTCCCGCCTGCACCCTGAAGCCCAAGTGTGTCCAGCGGCTGCTGGTTTGCTCCCAAGAGGCCAAGAAGTCAGCCTACTGTCCCTACAGTCACTTTCCCGTGGGGGCCGCCCTGCTCACCCAGGACGGGAGGATCTTCCAAGGTAAAGGCGGGCACCCCAGGGTCCCCAGCCCAGCAGCCTGGGTGGGGGGTCAGAGGAGGATATGCAGGACAGGGTGCAGGTGCACAGGCAGTGGCAGGAGTGCAGCTCTGTCCCTTCTTCCCCCAGCCTCCACGGGACCACTCCACCCTGCAAACCACTCCAGACCACACTCAAATGTGGCTTAAATCCAGGGGCTCTCAATGTTTGCTGGACTGGGATGAGGAAGGAAGTCAGAAGGAGGCAGGAAGGGGAGGCCATAAATCAAGAACATCAACAGTCCTGGGGTGCTGGCGGGGAGAGGGTTAATGCTTTCCCAGCCTGGGAAATGCCTGGCACCTTCCCGAGGCTTCCACCACACTACCTCCACACATCCCACCCCCTGACCTAGGAACATGCTCATTTTTAAATGAAAACTACCGAGGCCAGAGAGGTGACATGACTTGACCAAGGTCACACAGGGCGCTGGTGGTGAAGCCCTGGACTGGAGTTTCCCCAAAGCCCTGCTCTATCCTTCCACCCGCTGTGCTCAGTGCTGGCCAGGGTGGTGATGTGTTTGTCGGGGTGGTCCTTGTGGAATCTTGGAGGAGAGAAGCCAGACGAGCAGTGCTCTGCAGGGCCTGGGCAGGTAGGGAAGCTGAGCCCACCTGAGTCTGCTCTAATCTGTTCCTAAACTCTTTTCTTTGGTTCATCGCTTGTGTAGAAAAGTTCATGTGAACTTGTTTTAAACTCGCTTTTGCTAAGATTGGGGCGGGGCGGGGGGGCGGGGGACAGGGTGTGGAGGTGCCCGTTGTCTGTTGGGTGTGACTTGCCTGGGTCTTAAATGTCTTTGAGCAGGAGAAGCAGCCTTGATTGAGTGCTAACAGCCTGGGAAAGGAAGGTGACTAATGCTATCCACTTAACCCTTGCAACCCTGAAAGGCAGAAAAGGAAACTGAGGTTCAGAAAGGTTCAGTGCTCTAAATCACAGAGCTGGTGCTGGGACCCAGAGTTCCCGACACCCAAAGCCGTTGCTCTGTGAAGAGTGAAGGATCTCTGAGTACCATGTTGAAATCCAGACCCGTTTTGGTGGCTGAGATGAATATTAAACATTAACCACCAGCACAAACAACAAACATTAATTAACCACCACTGCAAACACTGTTGCATTTACAGAATCTTGAATGTGGAATCTGCCCTTGATTCTTTCAAACACCTTCACATCCTTTCTAGAGGGCACAGAAAGAGCCCTCCTACAATCCCCCAGCACCCACACTGACCCCTCCCGCAGTGCTTATCACATGGTGTCATTGCCGTCCACTTACGTATCTGCCTCTCCCTTGGGACTTTGTGCTGTAGAGGGCAGGAGCTGTGTCTTGAATCTTTGTACCATTGACTTTCTCCTGCTGTGATCTAGCACCTGCCTGGCCTAGAACAGGCACTGGATAACTGCTGAGTTATTGATTGGATGAATGAATGAGATGAATACGTTTGGAGAAGGAGAAGGAAGAGGGATGGCGGGGCCGGTGGTGGTGATGGGGCTCAGCATGCTGGACCACAGCATTTCCTGGCCTGTAGGGCCAGCGTGGCTGCCTTCCACCCATGCTTTCCAGCACTGGGACTGGTGTTCTGCCTGGACCAGCGGGAGATCAGACAGCCTCATCATGCCTCCACAGCCAGGGGACCTCCATGCCAGAATGCTCTGGTCCTTTCTTGTCTTAAAACCCACAATATGTTCTCATTGTTCAACACCCACTTATGAGTGAGAACATGCGGTGTTTGGTTTGCTGTTCTTGTGACAGTTTGCTGAGAATGATGGTTTCCAGCTTCATCCATGTCCCTGCAAAGGACATGAACTCATCCTTTTTTATGGCTGCATAGTATTCCATGTTCTATATGTGCCACATTTTCTTTATCAGAAATACCTAATGTAGATGACAGGGGGCTGGATGCAGCAAACCACCATGGCACGTTAGTATTCTTATGTAATAAACCTGCACGATCTGCACATGTACCCCAGAACTTAAAGTATAATAAAAATAAAATAAAACAAATAAGAATAAATAGAAGGTAAGATAAAGGAGGATAAAACTAATAACAAGGAAAAAAAAACCCACAATAAAGGAGGCACACTTTCACTCACCAGTGACACCTGGGAGCTCCTTCCAGCAAAGTTGACGCCTTTGTCACCCTCATAGTGATCATTCAATAGGTATTTGCTGAACATCGACTCTGTGCCAGGTAAGGTGCCAGGCGCTGGGGATATCACAGTGAGCAGGGATGACACAGTCTCTGTCCCCATGGTGGGTCCCTCATCTTGCACAGGTGAGGAGTAAAGGTACAAGCCGCATCCAATGGCTGTGGACAGAATGAATGGAGGAGGTGAGCAGGACTGTGGCCCATTTGCATTGCAGGGAAGGACCTGGTGTCACCAGAGAAAGGGCTGTGTAGTGGGGATTTCGGGAGTGGAGGCTTCAGAGGCAGAGGTTCATGGATTGGAAAGCTGGTGTTTACTAGCTGTGTGACCCTGGTAGAAAGGACCTTTCACCTTTCTGAGTGTCAGCTCACACATTATTTATTTGTTTGTTTGTTTATTTTGAGATGGAGTCTCACTCTGTCACTCAGGCTGGAGTGCAGTGGCATGATCTTGGCTCACTGCAACCTCTGTCTCCCGGGTTCAAGCGATTCTCCTGCCTCAGACTCCCGAGTAGCTGGGATTACAGGTGCCCGCTACATACCCAGCTAATTTTTGTGTTTTTAGTAGAGACGGGGTTTCATCACATTGGCTGATCTGGTCTGGTACTCCGAGGTGATCCACCCGCCTCAGCCTCACAAAGTGCTGGGATTACAGGTGTGAGCCACTGTGCCCAGCCAGCTCACACAATTTAAGCCAGGGATCATAGCACCTACCTTTCAGGGTTACTGTGAACAGAACCAGATTCAACTGGTATGCCTGGCATGGCACTGCAGGCAGCATCTGCTCTGATTGATCGGTGCCTGTGCTGAATATGTTGAATTTCACCCCTGGTTGTGAGGCTTTAAATGAGCAAATGCCTATAAAATGTTCAGTGCATTTTCTGCCTCGTAATGAGAATGTCACAAATGGTAGCTGCTTCTGCTACCTTTATTAATGCTATCATTATTCTTATTATCCGGAAGCAGATTGTGGAGGGCTTTTGGAGGCCAGAGACACTAAGATTTGAAGAGGCAGGAAGTAGGGAGCCAAGAAATGTTATTAAGAAGAAGAGTAACGTAAAAGTGGTGTGTGATGACAATTAGTGTGGCAGGTGCTCCGGAAGGGCGGGGGCAGAGGAACAGTGTCGGGCAACAGTATCTGCTCTGCCCACTGACCTGTCCGCATTGTCAGCCCATTTCCTGGCCTATCATTGGTACTGGTAAGGTTTGTTGAACACATGAATGAAATGCTTGGACTAGGACTGTGGCAGGTAGACTGAAGAGGAAGGAATGATCTGGGAGATACTGTGTGGGACAATGGATCGGGCCTGGCATGGGCAGTATTAGAAATAAAGGAAAAGGCTGGGTGCAGTGACTCATGCCAATAATCCCAATGCTTTGGGAGGCCAGGGCTGGAGGATTACTTGAGTCCAGGAGTTCGAGACCAGCCTGGACAACATGGCAAGACACCATGTCTACCAAAACTACAAAAATGAGCTGGGTGTGGTGGTGTGCACCTGTGGTCCCAGATACGTGGGAAGCTGAGGTGGGGGGATCACTTGAGCCCCAGGGGTTTGAGGCTGCAGTGAGCTATAATCACACCACTGTACATCAGGTGGACGACCGAATGAGACCCTATCTCGAAAAGTAACAAATAAACGAAGAAATTAAGGAAAGGCATATGGCTTTAGGGTTTCCAGCCAGGTGGCCCAGGGGAATGATAACGCACTGACCGAGGTGAGATGCTGAAGGCATGGCTGGACCGTGCCGGGGATGTGCTGGGCAGGGGCCAGCAGCAGTATTCAAAGCTCCAATGGAGTAAGCTCACTAAGGGCCTTGTATAGACGACCTCTTGTAATATCACAGCCACCTCATGATGGGAGACGATGACGTTCACATGCGTTATCAGAGCACTTCCTATGGTCAACGTCAGAAAACAACCAGAACCAGAACCAGACCAGCAAGGGTAGAGCTTGCCTCAGAGAAGCTGGACCCGGGAATGCAACCATCGCCATGCCCTTCTTTGTCCTTCTAGGTGCTGGCCTCTTTCTCTTGTCCTGCAGGTCGACTTTTTCTGGGCATCAGGGAACATGAGTGCAAGCAGTCTTTGCTCTCCATTCTTGTTTGCTTTAGAGGCGGGGCCTCTCTCTGCCTCCCAGACTGGAGCACTGTGGCACAAGCCTAGCTCACTGCAGTCTCAAACTCCTGAGTTCAAGCGATACTCCTGTCTTAGCCTCCCAAGTAGCTGGGACTACAATTGTGTACCACCATGCCCAGCTAAGTTTTTTTAATGTAGAGATGAAGTCTTGCACGTTGCACAGGTTGGTCTCGAACTCCTAGCCTCGAATGATCCTCCCACCTTGGCCTCCCAAAGCACTGGGATTACAGGCCTGAGCCACTACACCTGGCCTGTTTATCATCCTTACAGCCTCAAAATCAGAGAGGACAGGACTCTTCCCTACCAACTCTACATGGAAAAATTCCAAATAAGAAGTCCAATTGGTCCATCTCCAATTACAGACACATCCACAGGCCAATCACTGTTGTCATGTAGTGTGATTGGCCAGCTAACTCAAACTATCCCCTCCGTGGGGAGTGGGTGGGTCTGTTGCCACAAGAAGGGGTGGGGAGAGCTGAGCAGACCAAACTAATAGCCAAAATTCGCTCACATTTTATCAAAGCTTGGGGATACCTGAGGCTCAGTTTTGTCTGATTCTAAACATCCTGCTCTTTCTGCCACCCCTTGCTGCAGGGTGGGGATGGGGAAGGGACAGAGAGACCTGTGCTGAGAAGGAAGAGGGACACATGCAAGGTGTTTATGAGAATCCCTGGATCTGTCTACCGAAGTAG